TACCTTATTGAAAGGAAGAGTGAGGTATTCACAAAGTTCAAGAAGTTCAAGTTGCATGTTGAGAAACAAAGTGGATGCAAGTTGAAGAAGTTGAGAACTGATGAAGGTGGTGAATATACTTCTGCTGAATTTGCTAGATTTTGCAATGAGAGAGGTATAAAGCATGAGGTTATTTCACCCTATACACCTCAACATAATGGCATAGCTGAGAGAAAGAGTAGAAGTATACTGAACATGATGAGAAGTATGTCGAAAGCTAAAGATATTCCTAAAATATTTTGGGCTGAAGCAGCTTCGACAATAATATATATTCTAAACAGGTGTCCAACGAAGAAGATGGTCGGAAAAACACCTTATGAGGCTTGGAGAGGGTCGAAGCCAAATGTGAGTCATCTTAGAGTTTTTGGATCAATATGCTTCAGGCATGTACCTGAACAATTGAGAAAGAAGCTGAATGATTGAAGTGAAGTCATGATACTCATAGGTTATCATTCGAATGGTGCATACAAGTTGTATTCATCAAACGAAGATAAACTAGTGATCAGTCGAGATGTTCTTATGGATGAAAGAAAAGGGTGGAATTGAAGTCAAGGTTCAATTCGACAGGAATCAGACACAGTCACGGTAATATTGTTTCAATCTCAGTAATATTTATATCTATACAGTCAGTTTACTACCTTTTAGTGTTTAGAATTCAATTCTAAGTGGCACTTTTCTTGTCTTGAATTATATAAATTTGGCATGCTGAAGTATAATTATAATTTTCACTAGGGTGGTCAACATTTATCTATTTAGGTCATATCAGATCTAAATCTATTGACAGAATTATTATTATAGGTAATGGATGACAAATTATACTATTCAAAATTGTGTTGAATTCTCTTTTCCATAGTTTCAAACATGCCTTTGCATCCTTTTGTTTACTTATATAGTTTAATCTCTTTATAATACATTCAACTTATAGTCCTTTTATTGAAATTCAGTCTCATGCTATGATTGCTAGAGAAATTGTGTGAATTTTTTTTGTTGATTTGTAAGTCTTACAGAATTGCATTTTATTTGATTTTCCTAAGTTTATTTATTCCGGTACTAATATTTGTATTCTTTGAACAAACCTTGTTAGTTAATCAAACATTCGAGATTTATTTCACATAAGCCTGATGCTAGAAGTTGATCGTGTTGCACATGATGCTGATAGTTTTAAAAAAAGGTCTAAGATTTCTTATATCGGGTATTACGTGTCTTTTATCGTTCAAATAATCACTATTTTATTAATGTTGTGTTCTTCTGTACTGAGTTAAAGTATGTAACCATCTGAAATGAAGCGGTTTTCTATGTACTCTGTTTGGTCATTCATGTTGTTCTTTTCATATGCACCCCTTTGATGTCGTCAAATTTGTATAATTGTTCTTTTTCATTTTTAGTGAAACTCTATGATGTTCTTTATGATCAAAGATATGATAGTAGTCTGTTGATCTAACTAAGAAATTTGTATGTTATTCTGTTATGTAGATTGGGCAAGGAACTTATAGTACAATTTATAAGGCTCGTGACATAACTAAGCAGAAGATTGTTGCGTTGAAGAGGGTGTGGTTTGATAATCTTGATCCCGAGAGTGTCAAGTTTATGGAAAGAAAGATACATATTCTGCGTATGCTCGAGACAAGGTAAATAAAGTGAAATTATTCATGAAGAAGAAAATTGAAAAGTATGAATTGACTGTTGTTGATCATCCTAGATTTGGAAGGGTTCCAAAGACTATAGCAGCCAAACAGGTTATAATAACACTTACAACATAATTAGGAGAGTGAAGTGACCTTTTCAACTTAATTGATCAAATCTCCAATGCCAAATTCCTTTATGTTTCAACTTACCGACTATTCTTATTACTTAATAAGTGAAGTTACTTCATTTACTTACCGACTATTACTTTTGTGCTTTGAGTTTTTAAACTTTCAATGTTAATTTATCTGTTCCAAAATAAATTGTACAGATTTTTGCAATGGCGTCTAATTAGTCTTAATGTTGGATTGATACTGCTGCTAGCACATTAAAATATCTTCACTTTCAACATTCAAGTACAAATTATGTCTTAACATTATTTGTGATATGCTGAATATGATTAAGATGTTATGCATGAGAAACTAGCTTTCAATCTATATTTCAAAGCATTCGACATGAAGAACTATCATGGTTCCGCAAAGCTCGGCTTCTATATGTTGTATGAATATGAAACTGGACACAATTTTATAATTGAGAGTGTTTACATACTGTATCTAAAACAACATCCCAGTTCTTGTGACAATAACTTCCTTTGGAATGTTTACTTTACTTGGTGGTGAATTAACACTTGCAAGGGCATTCACCTCACTGTTATTGTTTTCGGTTTTGCGATTTCCATTAAACATGCTTCCAAATGTAATAAATCTAATTGTTTTTTTGCTCCAATATCATTAAGTTATTGTTCTTTTTAATTTTAACTCTACAATTGCCAAATGAATATTGTTTAAAGAGATCAAGGAATGATAAGGCATGATATATTTGTTTGTAGTATTTAGTGATATAAGGCATGGTATTAGTTTGTATTTTGTAAGTAATCACGGGAAACAATTTTAGTCTTTGTATAATCAACATATTTTAACAAAAACACCCGTAAAAGAATGATGTTACTTTTATTTAACTTATCTTTATTTTTTTAATTTAGATTGAGAGCTTCTTATGCAATGGTGGAACAAATGTAGAGCTGTTAAGCTAATTCAAGTTTTTATTGCTGATCCTTTTTTTATCACCAGTTCTTCTAATAGATTAAGAAGTATATAGTATTGATTATTATATACCAGAACTTCATCTTTGAATTGTGAGATGTTATGTTACTGCATCATGTAATAGTAAATATATTATGCTTGGTTTGTAAGTTGCAATTACAAAAGATACATTTGATTCAAAATATCTCTATAGTTACTGTGAATCCAAAATCAATATGTGTCCAAATATGTGATTAAGGTCTAGAAGTTAAAAAAATAATTGTTAACTTATATGTTTTTTTTTTTTAAGAGACAAAGGAGTTATATTAAAACCAAAACAATAAAAGTAGCACAAGGAATGCTAGTTATATGGCAAACCTTAACACAAAATCTTTATAGAGTTACATATTTATTTAATTGCACTTTTGGTTTAGTTAAAAAAATTTAATTATATTTATACAAGTAACTTATAATTATGTCAGTTAAAAATGATAGTAACACAAATTCGGCATGTGAGTAATTTTATATTACTGTATTTTAAAATAAGTTTAACTAATTTATTATTTTTTAAAATACGAGTATAGATATGATATGCGTATATGGTATTGATATTAAACTATTGATTTAAATATTGAATAATAACAAGAATAAGTATCATGTGTCCGTACGAATAACACACCAGCATCACACACGAATTACAATATCAAAATTCATACTAACGCACGGGTTATTATATTTTTTATACAATTAAAAAAATAAAATTAAAAATAATATATTAATCCAAACACGATAAAAATATTATGTTTTTGTTTTTTAATTATTTATGTGTCTAATATTTTTATTTTAAAATTATTTATAATTCGAGATACAAAATTATAGTAACATATAATATATGGAAAATCGAAATATATTTTATTGATGTAAAATAATTTTGGTAAAACAAATTTATTTTAATTTTAAAAATATGTCTTTCTTTTAATAATATGATCAAAATATTTTTAAATATTTACAGAAACATGAAATTATTGATAAAAAAATAAATATTAACAAAAACATAAAGTTACTGATTAAAATATTGAATATTAACGGAAACATGAAGTTATTGATCAAACTATTGAATATTAACGGGAATATTTAATTACTGATCAAAATACTGAATATTAACGGGATCATGAAATTACTGATCAAAATATTGAACAATAATAGAAACATGAATTTACTAATTGAAATATTGAATATTAACGGGAACATGACATTATTGATCAAACTACTGAATATTAACGGAAACATGAAGTTATTGATCAAACTATTGAATATTAACGAGAATATTTAATTACCGATCAAAATAATAAATATTAACGGGAACATGAAATTACTGATCAAAATATTAAATAATAATGGAAAATGTGAATTTAGTAATTGAAATATTGAATATTAACGGGGACATGACATTATTGATCAAACTACTGAATATTAACGATAACATGAAGTTACTAATTAAAATATTGAATATTAACGGAAACACGAAGTTATTGATCAAACTATTGAATATTAACAGAAACATAAAGTTAACAATTAAAATATTGAATAATAATACAACAATTTTATTATTGATTTAAATATTTTAGATAATAATTTTAAAATAAAACTAATATTTATATATAAAAATACATATTATTAATTTAAATATTTTTATATATTAAAATAATTATAAACATTAATTTATTATCTTTTTTTAAAAAATCATTTTATTTTTATTATATTTTAAAAATAAATATGCATATGATACCGATACCTGTGCAAAATCACAATATCTAAGTAGGTTTATTATAAAAAAGAATAGTGACTATTTCATATAAGCAATATAAGCAAAAAGACAAATAAGCTCCACCCAACATCCAACCCTCTAGCCATTTTTAAATATTTTGTTGGATATCCCACTAGGTTTATTATAAAAAAGAATAGTGACTATTTATATAAGCAAAAAGACAAATAAGCTCCACCCAACATCAAACCTCTAGCCATTTTTAAATATTTTGTTGGATATCTGCTCCCATCCATGTTTTTCATTTAAACTTTTTGTTCTAGTTTCTAAAAATGTTGTTCTACTCATAACTCATTTTTATTAATTTATCATTAAAAGAAAGCTCACTCATTGTACGTGTACTAACAAGCATCTCATTTCATATTTATTTATTTTCTTCACAGACTACATAGCTATGCATCAAAATAAAACAGAATAATACAAATCTTATTTTAATAATGGAAAACATAAACATTATATTCCACAACAGCTTCTAACTCAGTTGAAGAATGAGTAGATGCCTTAGCATACCCAGTCGCAAATCTAAACAGCCCACTACCACCGACAACCGGCATCTCCCTCACGGCGGACACCACCGTATTCCTTCCCAAAACACTCAGACTACTTCCATTATAATTCCCTCGAATGAAAGCAAAGTTAAGCACCATGAGAAAACCCAATTCACTCTGCGAGGCTGAAGCGTAGATTCCTTGTGCTCTTCCTACAATTTCGGAATTTGACTCCGGTGAAACCGTTAACGGGTCGTCCATTATCACTACCGAACCGAATCCCGTCGGAGAGTTGTTGGTGGATGGAGAGGAAGCGACACGGAAGGCGGTTTGGTTTTTTCCGCCGATGATGTCGTGGAAGTAGAAGCGGAGGTGGCTTAGTTTTTGGGGTTTGTGGAGGCCGAGTGTTGCTGGGGAGATGGTTTGGACGAAAGACTGGGTTTTGGGTATGGAATTGGAGATGGTGATGAGGAAGATGAAGGAGATGAAGTAGATTTTGGCCATGATTGTTGTGATTTGAGGTGTGTGGCTTCAGGGTTCACACAAGTGTTACTATATATGGCTGTATTACGGAAATTGAATCATCTTTTTTTTTTTTATAAATTAGTTTTCGATGGAGGGGGAATACATAGGTTCATTAAATAATGAAATATTCTAAAATTTTGATTAATGATTCATTAAATAAGGATACGCCTCCCAAGAGTATGAAAAATAAGTAAAAAAATAAGTAAAGATGATGAGGTATCATCTTACTAAAGTTTGAACAAAAGAGATAAGTAAAGATGATGACGTATCATCCTACTAGAGTTTGAAAAGATTGATTCAACTTAGATACGACGACGCAAATAACTTATCAATATCTAAAATAGATCGTAAATTTTTTGTATATTTACCCTGATGTAAATTACATCAGTTTGGGTGAAGAGACACCTTTATTTCATTCCACCTATTCAATACTACTTTATTCTTCTTTATTTTATAACTATCACTTTAATCATTATAAATATATCAAAGTTAAATAATTTAGAAATACCACATATAAACTTTTGACTTCACGTATTAATTTTACCGTTTCAAGGTTAAAAATGTTTTATTACTTTCTTACTTTAATTATATACATTTGATATTTAATGTAGATGATGTGTCACCCCTTTTCTTACTATTTTTTATTTAAATGTCAAGCATTTTGAATTACGTAAACTAAAGTTGCAAAAGATAGAAGAACTCTCTTATATTCACTCTTTTTAAATGAATTATTGGATTTTTAGTTGCTCAATAAACTTTTCACTCTCTTCATGTCTTGAATAGTGAAAGATCACATTGAGAGTTGTAGTAAAAAATGAAACTCTTTAAACCATACTCTATAAACGTTTCAACATCCATTCAAACTCTTCAAAACCATAATCACAAAAACCCAACAATTACCTGTAAAAAGCAAAACAAAAAATAGAGAAAACGAAAAGCTGAGAAGGAGAAGAAGAGAAGTCCAAACTGGAAAACAAGAAAAACCAACTCGGCGGAAAATCTTCGTGCAAAAAAACTGTAACCACTGTATCTTTCGAAATCGCACACCAAACTATTCATAAATCATTGCGTCTCCGCCGTAAATCACCACTCTGACCACCAGAGTCTCTTTCTCTCTCGCGAAGTCTACACCGTCTGCGTCTGGATAATGTTGTTTCAAATTATTCTTTGAACTCAAAAGAAGTTGAGAAGCCTCAGATTCAGCCCATAGGTTTGCCCAATGTCGAGGAAATTCGAGGCCAAGATATCTGGAATAATTGTGTTATTCACAGTGTTGTTAGCGGAGTCATGAGTATGATCTTTGAACCTTTACTTTCTTTATTCCCGTTTTTCAAATATTTGTTACTATGTACTGTCAAAAAATTGTTTGATGGGATTCACATGATGAACGATAAGGTGGAATTCAATGTTACATGTAGCTTACATCGAGAAGCTCTACGAATACGGCGAACAACTCAACAGCTCCAAAGACAAATATCAGGTCTATATAAATCTTCCATTCTCACTTTTTATTTAGGGTTTTACATTTTCATCTTCAATTAGGGTTTTTGTTTGATTTTCATGTTTATTTTACAGAACGTCATGGATTTATAGAGAATCATAGAAGCAGCTCGCTCCACAGCTCATTCCTAAGTTCTTCAGGTTCTTTCCTGAACAATTTGGTCTGATACTCAATGCTCGTCTTGATTTGGTTGAAGTTGAAGAACTTGGGGTATGTTAAAGCAGGAATTTCATGGTCAAATTATAATTGTTCTTGCGTAAAAACAATAAACGAGTAGCTTCCCTATAGATATATGGAGAGCCACAATGGGGTATATTTCTGTAGATTATATGGGAGATTTGGGTGCTACGATGATTTATGTGTTGTGTATGTCGTATCTCCATTTTCCATTTTCCAAGGACCCTTTATATAAGATAATCCTTGGTCTAATGGACATTAAGCCATTTTGTAACATTTGTAACCGACTATTTAATTGTTTGTAACGTGATTAATAAGTGCTTGTAACTTTTTCATGACCTTTGGCTATTCGGGTACCGTAACTGAAGGTGGGACCTGTACTAGTCCGTCAGGAAATCCAGGCCATATTTCGGTTTATCTGGGTTCTGGATATACAACCGAGTCCAGCCTCCGCTTAGCCAAGATCTACGCTCTCTTGAAGATCCATTTATATTCTTGCACCTAGATAACTCTAAGTCCCGAGCTCATACCTCAGTCGGTAAAATAATTTCGGGATGTACATAAGCCCTCCGGGCACGAAGTCTAAAGGAGTGAAGTGTTCGGACAAAAGAAGTCTGACATTTCTTGATCCTGAGGTCGAGCCGTAACTAGGAATATCTAACCAGGTATTATAATCAAACCCGGATTGTTAACGTTGATAAATAAGTCCACGCGATGACGTGTGTCTTTTTGCCATATTTTGATTTACTTCTTCCTTTCAAAATTAAGCCCCAATCGTACTGTGTCTTTTCTAGTAGAAAGGGTAAGCCCCAGGCGTCTTTGGAAAGCTCTACGACTTTAAAGACGTCAAAAAAATCTAATTTTGGAGAATATATGACCTATAATCGATGTAGAACTTTGTTGCTTATAATAATTTTGGAAGTATGAAAGCGCCAGTGAATTATTAACTTGTGGTTGTTATAGAACCTGGAGTGCTCGAAAAATCGAGAGGTCGTAGAGCTTTAATGGGTTCTCGACCTTTGTCGTAATTCTTGTTTTAGTTATATCACTGCTTATCCTTGTTATTCTAATAGCTCATGTGGATGTTGGTATGTCAGCCACAAGCCATTGAGGTCGGGTTCATAATCATGTTTACGGATATCTACACCCAACATTTTCATAAAAGATGTTTTATTAAAATTTTGGCCATGGTAAGAAGCCTTTTTGGTCTATTACCAATTAGGCTATTATCTTCGACAAGTATCAAAAAGTAATTTGATGTTTGTTTATCCCGACTTTTGTGTTGATTGGACCGAGGTATTCGTACTAACCCGAAAATCTACCATACTTAGGATTTTCAATTATACGGGCTATAGACTTCTAGAGCCCCTTGGGTTTTAACCGAGTTCATATTTTCAGCACAAAGTTCGTAGAAGTGAAGTGTCCGGATACGACTAGCCCGACAATATTTTTGGATGCTTCACATGGAAGTCCTAGTGAGTTTAATATCTCTCGTTTGGACTTCTTCGAACATTTTCATTTGAAGCCCCAACTAGCCTATAAACTCGATTTATTTATTTTTATTCTCGGGATGTGATATAGTCGGGAGATTTTGTCCGTTTTGATCCCCAAGCATATCTGGAGTGTGTATTCTTCCTTTTATTCTCTAGCTTTTGCTTATTTATTATTGTTATAAGCACCGAATACTTGCGACGTGACCTACACACGTTCCGGTTTTTCCGGGCAAGTCTTATGATGTTGATTTTTTGTTTTTAATCATCACAACTTTAAAATAATCATGTGTATGTACCCAAGCCCCTCAGACACGAAGTTTGTAGGAGTTTAAGTGTCTGATCACGGAATGCCAGATATTAGTTTTTGCTATTTCACCTAACTGGGGAGCCATACGTTAACTAGCTAGCTTTGTACCTTATTGTTTATCTTTGTAAAGATTTCAATATAGGCTATGCTTCTCAGATATTGGTTCTCATTGCTCGATTAACGAGTACTTAGCTGATCCATATTACCCAGATGTAAAGTCAGATACTTATTCATAACTAATTTCCCGTGAAGGTGAGGTTGATCATAGTTTAGGAAGCCCCAAGTCATTGGGTTTGGATAAATCAGATATTTAACTGAGCCCCAAGCCTTTTTGGGTTGGCTTGTATAACCCAGACATTTAACCGAGCCCAAGCCTTTGTGGATGGGTTGTCATTGTGCTCGGAGCCGAGGAGTATCAATCGGGGTATATTTAAAGGACTCGACTTTCTTATGAGGAGTGTTGAATATGGTACTACGACCCTTATACGAGGATTGTCAAACACTATGACTCATTTATGGGGAGTGTCAATCCAAGTACTACAACCCTTATACGAGGAGTGTTAAATACTAAGACTCGTTTATAAGGAGTGTCAATTATTACAGAGGGTTCAAGTGCGCTTGGATTTCAGCTAGGCCAGAGGTTTCTGGTGAAGAAGTTTAATTCGTGCAAGAGCTAACTCTATTTGGCTGAGAAGCCTTATTCATTTCTGGGAACGTCTGCTCAATCTGGGGACATGGTCGTTTGGACCTTTATTCCACTCTGGTGAATAAGATACTCGACTCTTTTAGGGGGAGTGTTTTCGTAGTACTCGACCTTTAAATGGGGATTGTTAATTCATAGTACTCGACCCTTAAATGATGAGTGTTAATTAATGGTACTCGACCCTTAAATAGGGATCATTATTTCATGGTACTCGACCCTTAAATGGGGAGCGTCCATAGGTGCGGACAGAGGCCTGAAGGAGTAATTATCCTTGGTGGTGGACAGAGGCCCGAAGACGTAACCGACTTAGTGGCGGACAAAGGCCTAGAGACATAACTGGCTTAGTGGCGGACAGAGGCCTGAAGGCATAACCGGCTTAGTGGCATAAATAGGCCCAAAGGCGTAACTGGTTTAATGGAGGACAGAGGTCCTAAAGCGTAATCGGCTTAGTGGCGGAGAAAGGCCCTAAGGCGTAACCGTCTTAGTGATGGACAAAGGCCCTAAGGCGTAACCGGCTTAATGGCAGATAAAGGCCATAAGGCGTAACTTTAACACCCCGAAATGATTACTTTATTTAATTATTTCATTATATTATAATAAGTAATTGTGATGTAGTTGTGAGTTTATGTGATGTTTTGATGAATATGAGATGAGTTATGATGCTATGTGTGGTATAGTGGGAATTAAGTGACATTGAGTGTTTTAATAGTTTTAGATAATTAGAGTAATTATTTAGAATTATTTTTTTTAATAATATGATGTAGATATAAAGGGAGCAAAGTGGTAATGTTATGAGGA